GGCCAATCCTAGGACTCCTCCCATTGCTGGTCTGAAGCCACACCCCTAAGAGTCCCCGGATAGAAAGGATTGATGGCGGGAACGGTCCTAGGCCCCAACCAATTTCCACGGCCAATCCTAGAACTCCTTCCATTGCTGTTCTGAAGCCACACCCCTAAGAGTCCCAGGATAGAAAGGACTGAGGCCTGGAAACCACAAATCCAGTAACCTCAGGCTTTCCCTGTGGTTAGCAGGGCATGGACGGCTGAGGCGCTATACAACCGGTGGGAGATGAACCCAACTCCCCCTTGTAGGTCCTCCGTTTAACGGTGGCCCAAGCCTAGGATTCCACCCTCTTCTGACCCGAGTCCACACCGCTCACAGAAAACTTTACCTCTCTCACTTTCATCAAAGACGCAGAGACGCTCCACAAGTTGCAGCCCTTCTGGGAGCTTCTGGACCGACTAGGAGATGGCACCCCCTACGGGGCGGCAGAGGGGTTCCGTTTCCCCTGCAGCTTGATTGGCCAGCCCTAGGACTCCGCCCCACTGGTCTGAAGCCACGCCCCTCAGCATTCCCGGATAGAAGAAATAACAAATCAGGAAATACACCCAGAAATGGAACTCTGGGCATGGCCGGGCAGGGTAGCTCTAAGACTGCAGTGGGAGGTCAACCCAGTCTACCTGCTTAAATCCTCACACTGTCAGTGGCTCAGGCCTAAAATTCCTCCTCCTCCTAACCCGAGTCCACACCCCTCACAGAAAACCTTACCTCCCTCACACTTTCATCAAGGAACTCAAGAAAATTCACAAGCAAGGATTCTTCTAGAAACTCCTGGAAACTGGACACTCCTGCTGAGGTCTATAGTGCTGACATCCCCTAGAGGGCGTTGGAAGGGCTCTAGGTTCCCTGAAATTTCATTGGCCAGTCCTAGGACTCCTCCCTCTGCTGGGCTGAAGCCATATCCCTCAGAATCCCCAGACAGAAGGGCTAGCAGTGAGGAAACATTACATCTGGGAATCCTGCCTTAGAGTCACAATACTTTCATCATGCTTGTGATTCACCTCACCATGTAGACATTGAGGAGAGCAAAATAACATATTTTGAAGTTGAAGGTCCACATTCACATGACATTTATTATACTTTATTTTTATAATTGTATGTCTTATTGCTTATATTGTTAATAATTTAGTGTATTTAATCTATGAATTCAAATTTGTGATAGTTATGCATTTACAAAACACATAATACAGATAGATGCTCTTAGATTTATAATGAGATTACATCTCAATGGATCCATCAGAAAAGAAAAATAACAAGTTGAAAATACTTCTACACTGAAGTGATTTTGTAGGTTGGCAACATATAGTACACTCAAAACATCTGTTGTTTCATGTTGCTACCGCATGGTTGGTTGACTGGAAGCTGCAGATCAATGACACTGCCCAGTTACGAAAGAGAGTACTATACAGAGTATCACTTAGGCTGAAAAAGAGTAAAATTCAAAATTTGAAGTGCAGTTTCAGCTGAGTATGTATCACTTTTAGACCACTGTCATACTGAAAAATCACAAGTAAAACTTTTACTAGAGTTCTATGTCAAAGGAGGCCAGACTTCAAGGAGTCCCTACAAACTAGTTAGTAGAATCAGCTTATCTATGAGAGAAACCTTAACATTCAGCCTCAACATTCACTCTAGTGTACCTACTGTCTTTTCTTGTGATGATTTTCCACTCATAGGAAGCTTTCTTCTGTGGGAAACATAAAACTTCAATTCTATTTTTCAGTCATACAGAAAAATTATAGGCTGAATGTTCGATCAATATTTAAAAATGCAAGTAAATTATCTTTAGATCCTGTATAAAGGAGAAAGGCATTGAAGAAAAATTAAGAAACAAAGTAATACAGAAGAAGAAAGAGTGGATGTTTGTGACTTTCAGATCTCTGAGAAGGCAGAAAGAGAACAGAGGAGCCCTAGATGAACAGTATTTGACGCCCAGCTTTCAATGATCCTATGTATGCTATCCCTTCTGTAACTTTCCTTTGAAATGCTAATTAGCAGATTAACTACCTTTCATAGTTGTTAAGAACTTTTTCTTCTTAATCTGAAGGTCTTTGTTCTGTGAGATCTAAAACTAAATCTGTGACAGGTTCAAAATATTCTCACTTCTGGACGCTTTTGGAATGTATTTGTTCATAAGAGTTAGAGTAGATGCACTCCTAGAGTTTAAAACACTTATAATCATTTCCTTTATGAAACCCTTTGTGTCAGTTCATCCTCCTGTGTGTGTGTGTTTGTATGTGTGCATGTGTGTGTGTGTGTATGTGTGTGTGTGTGTGTGTGTGTGAGAGAGAGAGAGAGAGAGAGAGAGAGAGAGAGAGAGAGAGAGAGTTAATCTTAACTGTCAACTTGGACTGGATGAAGAGAATTCTGGAGAGGTGATTGGACCATGAGAGTACTGTAATCATCAGCAGGTTAATCCACTGACATTTATACCTAAGTGTTCTGTTAGGAGACATGGTGTAGTTGGAAAAAGTGGGTCACTGGGGCTGCACCTTTGGAGGCTATATTTATTGCTAGAGCTCTTCTCCCATGTTGCTTTTTGGTCACCTCAAAGTGAGCAGCTTGACTCTGGCATCCACCTTTGCCATACAGTTTCTGTTCTGGAAACAGAGAAAGCATGTACTGAACCCTCTGAAACTTTGAGTCAAAATAAAACATTTCCTCCTTAAGCTATGTATGTTTGCTCTTATGTCTCCGGCAATGGGAATACTGATTAATACAGCCTCTAGCTCACACAAATTTTGTGGCTCCCTAACCCAGGTTTTCATTGCTTATCATCGTAGTTTGTACCTTTTACTACTATTTTTAAAAAAATCCCTTTACCGTTCAGTTTCATACTAACAGATCACGAAATTCTCCACTGCTGTGGTTCAGTACTGTCTTATCAATTCCTGGTATGTACTACAAAGGCAATAAATCTTTAAATATATCTATGAATTATGAAGCAGATTTATGGACAAATTATGAAACAGATTTATGAAAGGTATGATTGTGATTTGACATGCCATTGACAAAACAAATCTGTTCTGACTCTAATACATCAAAATCAATTAAAATATTTATTTGATTGGTAATTCTTGTGCATTTTTGTTACTAAAAATTGCAAGACTCGAAGAGTTCAAATTTGATAGAAAGGAAAGGGAAATGTAAACACTTAGAAATAGCATAACTGATAATCTCATTTGAAGCACATCTAAACTCTAAATTGTTGTTGAGGAGACAGATAGAAAAGAGAGACACAGATCAAAAAAGAGGGAGGAACAAAAGGAGGAAGAGGGCCAGGGATATGGCTCAGCCACACAAGTGCCTGCCTGGCAAGCACAAGGTCCTGAATTCGATTCCCAGTACCAAATAGAAAAAAGAAAGAAAAGGAGGAAGAAGGGAGGGAGGAAGAGTGTGGGAGAGAACAGATTTAAAATTTAGATGGACTGGAAATTGAAGGAGAAATCGAAGAAGATCAAAAATAGCTATATCCACTTTATTTCAATAGTTATTAAATTATTCATCATTTAAAATGTATTGATATCTTGATATTTTTCAAAAACATCATTACTGGGCTGGGGATGTAGCTCAGTGGCACAAGCACCTGCC